TTGAATTTTTATTTTTACTTTTTTTTTTACTATACTAAATAAGTTTTGACAAAATTAGTATTAGTAAATAATATATATTTTTTTCTCTATTGGCCAGTGGCAAACGTTGGTCAATAAAAAAACGTTGGTTTTTATTTTAATATATTCTATTTTTGCCGGAACAATGAATAAATAGGGGGAGGAGGTCCTAATAAATTTAGGTTGAGTAGGAAAATTTTCCAAAAATTATTTAACAGCAACTTCTGTGTATTAAGCACTTACAAGTACTACCTTATTTTGCCTTTCATTTTTATAATTGTTCATGTTTCATAAATGTTTTATAACTTACAAATTTAAGTTAATTTGACCACGTTTTTTTTTTTTGTTATGAAAAAACCTCTCCAGTTCTTTGTAACAACTTTAACTAAACTATTCAGGAAAAAGTTTGAATAATCATATCTTTGAAACCATTTGGAATATTGTTTGGAATTATTTCTTTAATTAATTAATCGATCTGGAATAAATCTAGGTGTGTCAGTCCATCTTCTTTGCTTTTTGTAGGCGGTTTTGCTTCACTTTTTTATAAGCTGAATTTTGAAATTCTTTTATTCAGCATCTGCTTTCATTATATATTAAATGAAATAAGCCAGGTCTTGGTCAAAAATATCCAGATCAGAAAAATGATGTCACAAAGTAAGCAAGCAATTTTAATTCCTTTTGTGACAGATCTATAATTACTCATTTGAAAACGGTATAAATTTGCCTTTGTAATTGATTGGATACACTTAACTTCAATAGTTCATCTTTAATCCAAAAGCTAACTAAAGCAAATATTTGTTCTCATTCGTTTTCATCAGGCGGTCAGAAAATTAATTATTTTGTACTTCTTTGCTGCTAAAACAAACTAGTTTTGGTGTTCTTAAGTTATCTAGTTTACAGTCAAAGTAGTTTACAATCAATCCTGTATAAATAAGAATTAAAACAGTGGCTAGGTGAACTTAATTATGCAAAATAAAAGATTTTATCCCAGTATCTAATAGCATAGTTCAAAGTAGACTAGTAGTATTTAGGTTAACACCATCTCAATTTTGTTATAGTAAATATAGTATTTTAGATTTCTATTCACATAAATAGGTGAGGTTTAAGCTAAATCACAGTTTAAATCTACATTGTCTTTGGTACAATAATGTATATGGAATTAATATCAACAATCAATAAAACAAAAACCTAAGTAAATTAAAATTTCAAATAAAAAGCAAATCTGCTTTTGTCTAAATTTGATTTGAGATTTAATTTAAAACTGATAAGATTAATCACAGTTTAAGAGTTCACCATTTCAGTTTACTAAGTTACGAGAAAGTGTTTTAAATTGTAATAGTTATAAAACTAAAAAGAAAACAAATCTAACAAATATAATGTTACTAAAATATATTGTAACTAAGTAGAGAATAGATTTAATTTCACTATATATTTATTCTGATATTGTCGTAATAATAATTGTATAAATAATTTTTATTATGTAAAGTATTACTCAATTTCCAAGTTATTTTCTAGTTATTCTGATTTTAAAATCACAAGGCACAGATTTTTTTAGATGTTTTTAAGTTAGTTTACTTTTACTTTAGGTTTTTTTAAAACGCTTTTTTGTTCATCTACAAGTTATATGGCTTTTTTTTATGCACCAAAAAACAACTTGATGAAATTATTTATAAATTATCATTCTTTTCAAAGAAAAGCAGTTATTATTTTTATTAGTACTATTATTATTTGTAGTTTTCCTCAAGCAGAGATAAATACCTTTGTAAAGAAATTTTGTTTTTTAATTAACTTGTGTTTGCCTTGACCAGATCTCAATTTGTGTGTCTTAAATAAAAGTTTTGAATCTGATCACAAACCATCATTTGCAAAAGATAGCACAAGTGCATCATAGTTCAGATAAATTATTCTCAATGAATTTGTATAATAGTTGAAATTTATTAATTTCATTTTTTTTAGCAATTAAGACAAAAGGTTATTTTATTGGATAAGGTTAGTTTATTAATTCAATTAGTGAAGCAATTTATGGACCATGAATTAATTTGGATATAAATTCTCATCCAACTTGAATTTATAGAGGATGCAAGACAAAATCATACTTTTGAACAGAATTGTAAGGCCTTCAGTAAAGCTGTAGCTTTACTGATAACCTAACTAGATGGTTTGTTTTTTGAATGATTGTTGTCAAAATAAAAAGTTAAGTAGAATGAAACAAGAAGATCTGCTCTTGTGGTATATGCTCCGTCGAACAAGGATAAATACATCCATTTTTTTATTGTTTTAATTTTCTATAAAAGCTTTGATCTTCAAAAAAATAATTATTTTAATTATTTTTTTGAAGATCAAAGCTTTTATAGAAAATACTATTATTTTAAAATAAGTGAATTTTTTATACTTTTTAAGCAAAAAAATTTTTTTTTTCAATCTCTTGTTTGTCACGTGTTTAACAAAAAAAAACGTCTCTAAGCAAAAATAAAATTAGGCAAAAGAAAGTTATTTTGTGAAAGATATGGTTTATAACTGATATAATTATAAGTGTACATAATATAAAGTTTATATAATATAATTATATAATATAAAGTTTATATATATAAACATAACAAGACAAATGTCTTATTACGTTTATATAATGAGAAATTTTTAATAAAATTAGTTATATTATTTAATTTTTATTCGGTTTATTGTTTATTTATATGTATACTGATATTAATTTACAAACTAATATATAATAATATGTATACTAATATTAATTAACACATTACAAATTCTGTTTAAAAAACATGCGTTTCACTATTTTTTTTTTTTTTGTGGTTTTTTCATCTGGTTTATTATTACGTTATATTTAGATTACGCTAAGTTTAAATTACGTTTATAACGTCAGAAAAAATAACAGTAACTAAATTTTTTTTTATTACTTTTATTTTTCGTTTTATTTATTTCACATCATTATACTTAAAAGAATTAATAGTTTATTTTCTGCATAAAATAATGTATAATTTATTATTCGACGTGTTATAAAGCTTAAAAGGTGATCTAAACGTTTTTTTTTTGTGAACTCACAAATACTTTCATTTTAAACTGTTGCGATAGTTACGATATAATTCTATAAAACTAAGCGGTTGATTTAAATTTTTTGTTCGAATTTGTAAAAAGATTTTTATAAAGTTCGATCATCGAGTTTTATGTATATAAAACCAAACGTTTTGTTTTTTTTGGAAAAAGTACGAAATTATTCTGTTACCATTGTTTATTAAACTTCACACTGGTCACAAATACTTTTAAAAATTCGTAAGTAAGTATTCTTCAGTTTTATATTCGTTTATTTGTTTTTCTTAAAAAAGTTTATGTTTTAAAACAAAATTTATATTGTTACATAACTTTAACTTACGACGACTGTTTTTCGTGTAAATTTGATGATAATAAGTATTTTTTTATTGTTAATATTTTAGTTAAATTATATTATAAATATACAAGATTAAGGTGCTAAACTGTGTAAACCTTTAAATTTAATTTAACATTTTTTATAATATTTTGATTTCTATCTTTAAGCTTATTTTTTAAAATATAATATAGCAAATAGATACGTGTTTTTATAATGTTCAAACTTTTTTTATATTTAATCTCTTGGAAATGCGATAATTGAGTTTGAAAGAGTGAGTTTTTTTTTATGGAAAGGTAAATCGAAAATAGATTTAGAATATTATAAATTAAGATTTAGAAAATATGTTTAAAAATAATTCAACTTGCCTTCAAAATGTTAGTGGTGCAAAAAAAAAATGCATATTTATAAACCTTGAAAAAAATTCTTTTATGAAGTATAAGGTAAGACCTTCGTCACAAAAACTCTACGCTACAAAAAATATATTTTCATCGCGTAGAAATTCTACGCGATGAAAATATATTTTTTGTTTTTTCTAGAATCTAAATCCTGCACATTCACACATTATTAAGGTTTATTTGATGTTAATTAGAGGTGATTTGTACCATATATAATATTTTTTTTCTAGAATTCTACTAGAATTTATTGATTTACAAATTTTTTACTTTAAAAAATGTTTGGCATGCTTTAGTATGCAAAAAAACTAGTACAGTATGATAATGGTATGTAAGTACCTATGCCATACTAATTTTAAATTATACTGAGCTATTATTTAATTGCATTTTTACCTGTTTATTTTTAATCGTTGGTCTAAGTTTGATATTTTAGAAAAAACCTGTTTCTTTTGCTAAAAGTTTCAGAGAAATATGATTTACATGAAACAATTGTGAATGAGGAATTATTTTCTTGTTTGCGTTGAAATGATTGTTTCATGGATTTAATTTTTACTTATTAAAACAAAATGTCGTTTGATGTGATGTTATTGTAATTTTTAAATTCAATCGGTTTATCTTATGTTTGTTGCTTGTTTTTATATATTATATATATTATATATATTACATTTTGTATATATTTATATATATTTATATATTGATATATATTACATTTTGTAGCTTTAATGATGAAATTATGTTGATTTTGATGTGTAAATGTCTCATGATTATGAATCTTTTATGTGTGTGAACAACCGTTCTAATTTTTGTTATGTTATTTTAAATATGCCTAAGTTATAACTTATATTTAAATTATTTTGTTTTAGAAATATGATGAATTAACAAAATTAAAAAATTGTCTTTTTTATTATATTTTATATTACATTTTTATATATATTTATTTTTCATATGAATTATTTTATCTAAAGGTTTCACACTTTTATTATTTTTTTATATCATTTTAATTTAATATAAATTTATGTATATAATATTATTGTATAAAATATAGTCTATTTAATATAAAATAAAAAATTGTATGTTTTTTATTCAATCATAAATTAATAAAAATTATATGTATGAATATGTAGAATATTATAATGTATATAATATTATAATTTTGATTATTATTTTTATTATTTGTTCATTTCTTTAAATAATATTTAATTTTACTTTAGATCGTCTAAGAAAAAGTTATGAAAGAAAATATCACCATGATTTATTCATTGAATGTTTTTATGAAAGTCAATCATCATTTAATGATGAAATTAAATCAATTGTTGATGAACGAGGAGAGTGGTGGATTTCGATTGTCGATTGGAAAACTTCTTACTTAACTTCTTGCGAAAATTATTTCATAAATCATTACGTAAAATCTGGAAGAAAGTTATCGAGCTTATATGTTAATAAAATTATTTTAAGTGATGAAGAAGAAAAACTTTTAATACAATGTTCAACTAATGTTCGCGATGTCAGCTTTTGGTGTCCAATTAATTTCGAAGGTTGGAAACCGAAAGATAAGATTGAAGAGTTGGAGATATGGATCTCAAATTATTTAATAACAAAAAAAGATTTTGAAGAAAATTTTCTTCCGTGGATTAATCTTTGTAAAGAATTAAATCTTTTACTTCACGACGACATTGATTTTATTAAAGAATTTTATGAATGGATTCGTTGTTCGAATGTCAAGAAGTTTGAGATCTGGTACCGTGAAAATCATTTTAATAACCTCGATGAATTAAAAAACTTTACAACACGATAAAATATTTAATACCTTAAATATATTAAATTAAAACAATAAATATAAATAACTAATGAAATATTTAATGTATTATTTTATAATAAATACGTTTTTAAATATACAAATTAATTTTACTAATTTATTAGATTTAATATTTAAAAATTTAATTTTTTATTATTAAAATATTTTATTAATAATTCGTTTTCAAATATATTAATAGTTATAATTATGATATAAATTATTAAATATATTATTATAATATATAAATTTTCATATATATTATTATTAATAATAATATTATACTTGTAAAATTATAAATTACGTTACATGATTTATTGTTGTTTTTTTTAAATATTATATTTTCAGTTTTTAATTATTATGTTCTTAATATATAATTTTTTAAATAATATTGTTAATAAATATTTGTTTTAATAAATAATAAATCTTTGTTTAATATTTTATTTATATTAATTATTTTATGTTTTGTGATGTTTAAGAATGAAATTAAAAATTCTAAATATGCAAATTAAAATAAAATGTTAAATTTTTTTATTTTATTATCAATTTCTTTTCAAATAATATCGTATTTAAGATAAAGTCATAAGTTTTTAAGTTGATTGAATTTTGAATAAAACAACTTGTTTTATTAGATTTGCACTTTTTATACACCTTTTACACAAATTTATGTTTACAAAAAAATAACTTTTTAAGGTTTTCGCCATTGTTTCTTGAAGAGATCAACAAAATAAAAAAATTCGTCGTCATCAAAAAAAAAATTCGATGGTTTAAGTAGAATTTTTCTTCGAAGATTTTTAGTTCGAAATTTCATATTTCATTTGACGTTTTTACTTAATTTTAAACCGACTTTAAATTTTACTTAAACGATCAAAAATTTTTATATAAAATGTTAATAAATATCGAAACAAATATTTTAAATAAAAATACTTTTTTTTAAATGGTTTTCAATTTTTTTGTAAAAAGTTTTGTTCTCTCTCTCCATAAGTAGCAGTTTTAAACCGTGATTTTAATTACCGAAAACTATAATATTTAGAAAATATAGTAAAAAAACAATGGAATAAATTAAACTACTTTTTAAGCTGGAAAGAATTAAATAAAAACCAACTAAACGTTTAATCTTTTTTAGAAAAATTCAGTTTCAAGTTTAGACTAATAAACACCGCGTTTAAATGTTTCTAAAACCGCGAATGAAACTATATTAAACGATCGTTATAAAAATTAAAGTTTTTTAAACAAAAAATAATTTGAGTACGCAAGTTTTGATTTTCAAAAGTTACGCGAACATTTTCAATGCCAAAGAGATTAATGTTGGTTATGTTACGTTAAGGCCATTTGTTAACAAAACTGCAGCTAGCAAGTACTGTGACAGTAAAACCAAAACTTTTTTGAACAAATTTAGTTATGTTGAATAACAACAATATAAATAAGTGAATACTTTTTTATAATTTAAATATAAAAAACTATTTTAATTCAAAAATCTTTAAAATTCTGTTTTTAATGTAAGAAAAATTCGCGTTTTAAAACCTTTTTTAAATTTTGAAACTTATAAAAAAACATTAAAACAAACTATGTGGCTTAATGTATGGATATATTAAATTGCCGTTAACCAACCATGTCATAATTGTCGTTTATAATGGCACAGTGGCGGAAAGAGTTTTATAGTATAAATGTGTAATTATAATTTTGCTTAACTTTATTTGCCATTTTGATATTAATTAGTGATATTAAAATATGGTTGAAAAATGTTGCATTTATGGCTGCACTACAAAGTGTTTATCTGTAATTCCAAATGCAAACTTAAAAGTAACTAATGACACTGTAGTTTGTGAGTTGCATTGGCTGATAAATTTTGAAAAACAAATAGTTAGAGGAAAATATTGCCCATAATTTCCACCACCTGTTTGGCCTGGCATACCTTGTCAAATTCCTACCCATCTTCCTCCATTACATGCAACAACTTGTGCTTCTTTGTGTTTAAAAAGAAAAGTATAATTATAAATCATAATTATACTATAGGTTGTCAGAAAAGGACGTCACTTTATAGATATTTTATTTTAGTTTAATTAACATGGAAAACTACGTAAACATGTGTTTTTATGAAGAAAATGTATGAGAATATTTTTAATTTTATTTTTAAAGGTGTAGCAGTAGATTCAAACATCATTGCGAGATAAAATAAATTTTTTTGGAGTTAAAAATAGGGGGGGGGGGTTCAGGATTTTATGACGTCTTTTTCAAGGGGGGTATAGAGAAAAAGGTCAACCTGTGACAAAGGGGGGGGGGGGATGGTGGTCAAAAATTGGCTAAAATTGGTGACGTCCTTTATGGATGGCCCCTAGTACCATTTTTAACCAATTGACCCGTAAGGCGTAAGGCGTGACCCGTAAGGCGGTTTATAAAATTTCTAAACGACGAGTGACCCGCATGACGGTGCAAAAACAATTTTAAATATTTTTAAACATCTCTAGCACTTAAGAAAAACTTTAAAACTATCTTTGAATTGTGAATAATTTCTTTAGTTAATGCTTCAAACCGTTTCTTAATTGCATTTATAGATCGCTCAAAAATCAATTTTAAAAAATGACGAAGAACAGGGAAGGGGAAAGAGATACGAAAACTGACATCATATATAAAGAAAGGAGGAGAAATTGGCCAGAAAAATAACAGAGTTTGACAAGGGGAGGGGTGAAAAATTGTTAGAAATCTCATACATCATTTATGGAATGTATACCTTAGAAAAAAAAAACAATTTTTAATACTTTTTAGTTTCGATATAATATTCGATATAATTAAATTATTTAGTTTCCAAATTGCACGAAACTTCCAAATTAAATTTTACTATAAAAAAAACAATAGAACACGATAAAAGAAATTTTTTTTTTATAGTCAAATTTTAAAAGTTTCTTTTTTTTCGTTTAAAACTTGAATAAATTTTAGGACTTCAACGTAAATTTATTCTCCTATTAAAAGTCATTCCATATTTTATGTTCTCGATAAGATATACAAAATTCTGAGAGTTTAGTTCATTTCGGGGGCAACGTTGTTTTTGCTATTTGATTTTAGATTACACTTTTCATTTATAATTATTTCAAACTTGTTGTTGAAGTTTGCTGGCAAAAGTATTATCTATACAAAGTTAGATTCCGATTAATTTCATTTCAAATATACCCATCATTTTCGTATTTTTCACAAGTGGTTTTGCATGTTCTCGTTTTTGTTTAAAGTATATGATACGTCAAGCGTGTTTTTGTAGCCTATACATTTTTAGACATTTTTTTGATTGCGCACTACCCCATTTTATATTTGCATAGTCAATAAACCCAAAATATTGACTATGCAAACATAAAATGTTTGCATAGTCAATATTTTGGGTTGGTTCAAACAGTGAACCAACCCAAAATAATATATTTTGAGACTTAAAATATCGACATATGGTCGAACTCAATACATTACGCCAATAGTTTTGGTCTTTTTTGACAGTTATTGACTGCAGATAATTTATATAGGGAACCCAGAATAAATTATCGACTGCGCAAATTCCTTAAAATTTTATACTTAGTTGGTTTTTAATTATTATATCTTTTAAATGAATTTCGCGCAATTTAAGAGGAATAATTAATTATTGTTGTTTTGCATGGAACAGAGTATAACCAATTAATAAAAAGTAATGATATGAATGATGTTGAATTTCTAATAAGTCTTTAGATTTTGAGTTTTCAATTTTTTTTATATTTTATTATTATCGAGTATGTAGGAGAAAGCGAGGCAACATAGCGAATAGGGCAAGATGAGTTTTCATATAACAATTCAACAAAAAATCAAAAATTTGGGTGAAAACTAAACTGAATTTGCATCTTGTATTTTAAAACACTAATTGGTTTTTTTAAATACTATTAATGCAAATTTATACACATTGTTTTACTATTTGCGCCTAAAAAAATTCCTCACTTTTGGTTTCACATAATGGATGGTGTCCTTCAAATTTACCTAGTTTAGAAGTAGTTTTATGCGACGTGTGTTTATTTTGTGTTACTTTAGTTAGAGTTAATGGTAGTTTTTAAAATGTTATAAAATTGGAGGCAAAAATTGCATAATAAGTCATCTTGCCTTGGTCATGTGACCAGATGACAAATTCATGAAGTTTTTATTTTAATATTTATTTTAGATTGTTATATTTGCAAACTGAAAGTTCAAGTAGGTAATGAATCATTTTAATAACATAAACATATCAAGAAAGTATTATTGCTTCACAACTGATAGTTTTGAAATAACTCAGGGCTTTCAAAACGTTCGCCATGTTGCCCTGATTTCCCCTATTTACTTTTTTACAAAAAAAAAAAATTACTAAAATATCAAGTTCATTCACAGTTTTACTATTTTAGAATAGTTTTGCAAAGTTACATTATTTAATCATTCTTACATATTTTTTTACAGCGTAAACCCAGTTTCTTTTGGTATTTTGAGCAATTTTCATTTGATACCATAGCAATAAGCAACCATTTTACATATCTTTTTTTGATCGCCAGTAATAATAAAAGTTAGTCAATTTGTGTCGTTTTAAAACATGAGGGTAGTTGTTCCTTAAAAAAACACACGTTTGTAAAAGGTTCTAATGATAAGATCAGTACTATCTTCTTTTAGAAACCTTGTTTGTGTTTGTGAAATAATAAAAATAATAAAAAATAAATTATCGCCATGATGAAAAATAAAGGTTACCTGTTTAATAGTTATCTACCTGTAAATTTACTGCATAATTATTTTTGTTATGTTTGTATGTATATGTATATGTATATATATAAAAACCTGATATTAGTCAAAGAATTTTTTTGAAAGAATAAAACTAACTTGTTTTGTTTGTTCTATTCTTTCAAAAAAAAAGAATAGAACAAACAAGAAGACATGGCTAGTTTAAATATTTTGCTGTTTAAATATTTTGATTTTTTCTTCCTAATTTTTAATTTAAACGAAGAGATATTTTTTATTTAAACAAAAAGATTTAATTTTCTAATTTTATGCATGTTG